GCAAAGAACACAGAAGAAAATTAAAACCTAAAATTCAGCCAAGAGATTCTTTGACTTTAATTCCTCCTGTAGCTAACATCATGGGACTCTTCAATGCAGCAAAGAAGACCACAGTGTCCCATAACATTTTTTCTTTTTCATCTGCAATTTCACCAGACATAATAAATGTGTCAAGACCAAGAATAGTATGTTTAAGCCAACTTGGGAAACATGTACAGAAAACCAACCCAGAGCCTGCAGAAGGCTAATAAAAGCATTGTAGTGTGAAAGGATTCCTGAGCAATCTTTTTATTTATTTTAAGTTTACTAGAGGGTGCATATGATCACCAAAGAGAGAGAGAGAGAAAGTGTGAAAGCCCTCCCACCCCTCTCAGAGGATGGTCATACTTAAATCCCATCTCCATTTTTCCTTTTAAGATTTTGGGCACAAATGCACAGGTGCATATGCAATATGTTTTTCAAGCTACAGGGCCCAGGACTTCAATTGCACAATTGGCCATGTGAAATCGAGCTGTTTTAACCACCAAGCCACTAGGTAGCACTCTTTTATTTTTTCATTAATTTAAAAAATTATGGTAAAATACAAATAACATAACTGCAACTTTTTGGATGGAAGCTCTTGATATAGATACTGAACAGATTTTCTTTAAAATGTCTGCTAAATTTCCTTTTTTCCTTTTTTGCTGTGGGGCATATGTGCTCACCAGAGAGAGAAAGAGAGAGAGAGGTTAAGTGAGAAATAATTGCCCCAGGGGCATTCACCATGTTGTAATCCTTTCTCCTCATCTCCCCTTGGGATTTTAGGCACACATCAAACTACTAAGTTGGCCATGTGGGATCCAGTACCTAATCTCCATGCCAACTACTGGCCCCATGTCTACTAAAATGTAACTTCACGTCAGAGCTATGGTTTCAAAAAGTAAGTAGGACTTCTGTAACAGAATGCCTGCACTGAAACTATTAAAATGTATAAACTGACACAAGTTGTATACTATTGGGTTGTTGGAATAGTCATGATGCATTTCTGCTTAGAAAAAATACATCATGATTTTTCTAGCAACTAAATACATAAACATTTTTCAATTGGCATGCTGAGCTAAAGAGGCCTGATTCAAAGTAGTCCCCATGTTAATACTCATTGTAAAACCTTGACATAATTCATGATAAATACTACAAATGCATGAGGCTTCTACAACCTGAAATGCATACTTTTAAAATATTTTATTTAAAAATAGAATCTGCAGCCAGATGGAGACATGGTAGTTAAGATGGCTGGATAGAACATGGCTGACTGTGCAACTGAAGTCCTGGATCTGGTGGTTTGAAAAAAATACCAGGCACATGTGGTTGAGTCCCAAAATCCTGATAGGAAAATGGAAGAGAGGAGACTATGGCTTGGCCACTCCCTGGGGGGGAGGGTACTTTCTCACCTTTTTTTCTCTCTGCCTCTCCAGCGAGTACACATATCCTATAGCAAAATTAAAATAAATAAGCAAAAAAAAATAAAATCTGAAATCATTGTCCTTCAAGTATGGTTAAAAAGTGTGGCCACCAGTGTTGACCATTTTCCAAAATTATAGAGTCTTTAGTTTGCAGTTAAAGAGATGACACTCTGAGATTTTTGAACCACATGGATGTCATGCTCAAAGATGTGTGTCTCCAGTAGTTGCATGTTTTGGTGGATGATGTCTGCTTCTCTTATTTTATAGTAGCTGGTAGACATGCTGCACAAGCAAGCTGGACTTCACAATGTCCTTTAAAGTCTCTCTTTTTTCTGTCCACTTTGCTCAGTTGCTTCTATACAACTGGATCTTGAGGATCTTGCAAATAATCGATTCTCTACCTGGACTGAAGTAAACATTGAACATATATATTAGTTAGTTAATTTCCCCAAAATGCCTTAACGACGTTAGTGGTAATGGTAGCTGTATGTATTTACGGCTTCCATGTGCTAGAATCTGAAGCCTGAGCTCTTAACCACTACAGGGTAAAAGACTTTTCTGAACTTCAAATTCAGTTCTGGCTTTGAGTCACAACTTTCTGGTGGATGGATTGAAATACAGGAAGTGCAGGAAGAAATGGCATATTTTATAGAAAAAGGGATAAATAACTCATAAGATAAGAAACTGCCTGGGACCAGCAGATGGTGTAATGGCTACGTTTGAATCTGTCTTCATGCACTCACTGGAGAGGCAGAGACAGAGAGTGAGGAATCACCCCCCGCCAGGGGGTGGGTGGGTGGGGCATAGCCACACCACAGTCTCTTCTCCTCCAGTCTCCTCTTGGGATTTTGGGCACACATGTATATGTGCCTGGTATGAGTTTTAAGCTGCTGGGTACAGGATTCAAAATATGGTCTACTACATGGGAGTCCAGTGACGTAACCATTAAGCCATTTTCTGGTCCCCACATTTCCTATTTCTAAGCTGAAATGGATGATCATAAAGTAATACCCCAAGATCACAATTTCAAAATGAATCATTTATGAAATGTCCTAAAAGGAAAGTCACCTTAATGCAGATTAAAATAAATGTTTCCAATCTAGATTTTTATTCTTAGCCCCTAGTTTCTAGTAAAGCAAGTCACTGAATACAAAGTTAATAACTTGGTCTGGTATAGATGATATAATAACCTTTCCTGGTATGAGTTGAATATCTCTAATCCAAAACTCTAAAGATTTGATATGTCCTAAAATCTGAAACTTTCTGGGTGCCAGTAAGTGGGAAATTCAACACCTGACCTCATGTGACAGGTCATAGTCAAAATAGTGCAATACAAAAATTACCAAGCAATGTACATGAGGTATATATGAAACAAATGAACTTCGTGTTTATAGATGTGGGTCCCATTCCTAAGATATCTTACTATATATATGAAAATATATATATTTCCTTTCCTGGAAAGGAAATCCAAAATCTGAAACACTTTTAATCTCAAGCATTTTGAATAAATGATACTCAACCTGTAAAAACTCTCAAAAGATACTAAATAGTCGGTAACATCATCCTTATATTCAACGTAGGTTCACTTACTTTAGGCAGGAAAAAGATGATAAATTTATAAAATCTGTAGTATTAAAGTTCCAGATTCAAAGAATATTATCCCAAAATAAAACATCCTTTTGATCTCATTTATTTTCATCTAATACAATTTCTTTTTTCAATTTCTTTTTTTTTTTTTTTTTTAGTGGCTAAGGGGCCACCAGGTGGTGAAGTGGTTAAGGAACTAGATTCCCACACTGGTGCCTGCAGTTCGAGCCTTGGACCTGGCAGCTTGAAACTCACGTACATGCACGTGCATGCCCAAAGTCCCAAGAGAAGAATAGAGGAGAAGGGATTGTGGCATGGTTATCCCTCTTGGGGGGGGGTGATTCCTCGCTTTCTGTCTTTCTGTTTCTCAGTGAGTACCCTATAACAAAAAGTCTCTCCAAACAAACGTTAACTTTCTAAGGGGCACATGCGCTCAACATAGTGTAACAGAGGAAGACAGAGTGAAAGTGAGAAAGCACCCATCATGGGGAATAGTTACACCATAATCCTTTCTCCTCCATTTCTTCCTTCTTTTGGATTTAGGGCATGTACACACATGTGCCCAGTATGTTTCTCAAGCCACCAGGTCTGGGACTTGATACACAGTTGGCCATGTGGGGTCCAGCTAATGTAACTACCAGGACACAGGCTGGCCAAATACATACAATTTCTTTCTATTTTATTTTTTCTTTTTTCTGGTTTTTGCTACAGGGTACCATTTGCCAGAGAAAGGCAGAGAGAATCACCCCACTTCTCCTCTCAGGATTTTGGGCAAACATGCACACACACACACACACACACACACACACAGCGTGACTTTTCAAGTCTCTGGGTCCAAGGCTGGAACCACACAGTCATGTATGTGAGTTCTAGCACCTTAACCTTCACAAGATCTGCTGATCCCCATAATATAATTGCTATTAGGTCATTGGAAAGTCATGGATATGTTTGCATAGAAAAATACATCAGGACTTTTCCAACAACCTAATAAAATAATGGATGAGAATGCTAACTAAAGAGTATAATATATATTTGAGGGTTTATCAGCCTGTCATTACTTATTTACTTATTTTTAAATTTTTGCTGTAGGGTACTTGCACTTACCAGAAAGAGACAGAGAGGGAAAAAGAAAGTGAGAATTCATCCCCCCCAGGGGGTATGGCCATGCTGCAATCTTTTCTCCTCCAATCTCCCCTTGGGATTTTGGGTATGCACACACATGCGCCCAGCGTGTTTCTCAAACTGCTGGGTCCAGGACTCCAACTACTTAGTTGTCCATTTGGGATCCAGCTGCCTTAACCACCACACCACTGGCTGGCCACAGGACAAATTTATTTTTTTTTAATTTCAAATTAGATGTTTTTTTTTTTTTAATGTATAGACATCCCATTAACTTCAGAGAAGATATATAATCTTTTTTTTTATATATAATTAATAACATATATTCTGACAGAGAAAGTTAGCTTTTGTCTGGTTTGGGATTCTCTGATTCTCGACTTTGACCTGGTTGTCTTTCTAAAATTCCTCTCATTACAGAATTCAGAGTCATGTTTCACTAGGAGTAAAAATATAGCTTCTACTATTCTGATCTGATAAATCAGGGAAAAGAGGTAGGCCTGTATGAGATGGGGCCAGGATTTAGCCGAATCATTGTATTTCTTCCAAAGTTTTTTTATAAGCACCTGCCAACATCAGTATGTACCTTGTCCATAAAATGTTTTACTTTGGTTTTTGATTAAAGAAATATCTCCTCTTGTAAAACCAGAATTAATATTATAGTCTCTCAGAAGAGCAGGGATAAACATCAAGCATAAGAAATGGAATGATAAAGAAAAGTCCGGATGAATATATTATATGTCTTCCACAATTTCATACACAAAAAATCAAAACTTAATTTTGATTAGAAATACTACCTTTACGATTTGTTTTGAAAAGCAAAAATCAAATCTTCATTTTTAATCGTGGTACTTTTATGGCAGCTTTTTCAACTTCTTCTGATATATCTACTCCAAGAGGGCATCTGTATCAAAGTCAGACAAATCATATTATTTCAATTATTTCTTTTTTGATCTGTTACTAGTTCTGTAGACTATGTACTAGAATTCTAACAAACAGTAGATATGTAATGTATAACTCATCATCTACAGTAAGCTCTTAAACACATACAAATATAGTGGAACTTAAGCCAGAACAATGAAGACCAGTCTTATTGATAAATATTAAGTGTTGAGATATTTTTGAAAGAAATAGTTGTATTGATCTCAAATATGCCAATAAGTTAAAAAGTTAAAATGAAACACAAAACTAAAAATGTTTTATAATTCTCTAAAAAGATAAAAACATTTTACCATATGTCTAAAGTCAACTGTGTTAATTAATATTTAAAAAATTCCCCATGTTTTGGGACTAGCAGTTAGCGTAATAGCTATGTTGCTGGACTCCCATGTAGTCAATTACAGTTCGAGTCCTAGACCTGGTGGCTTAAACTCACCAGGCACATGTGCATGCGTGCTCAAGATCCCGAGAGGAGAATGGAGGAGAAGGGATTGCGGTGTGGCCATCCCCCCTGGGGAGTGATTTCTCGCTTTCTGTCTCTCTGTCTGTCTCTGTCTTTCTGGAGAGTGCACGCGCCCTATAGCAAAAAACCTCTCCAAAAAAAAGAAAGAAAAATTCTCCATGTTTCTATTATTCTCTGAGATTTCAAAAGCTGGCTAGCCCTTTTATACTTCCCATTGCCATTATTAGCCAGAGAGGGCTTAGCTTCTACTTTCCCTGTTAATTCTCAATATATAATTTTTGCCTCAGATTTTGGCTTTCCTTCAATGCTGTCCAAGATAAAGTCTCAACTGGACCTCAACATGGAAAAAGCCGTCATCTCCAGTCTTGACACTGCCACAAGAGGGCACAACTGGATTAGACAATACACATGTACTCTGTGTCAGGGTGGGCTATTAATGTAAGGGATTCTTCTGACACCACTACTGTAATTCAATTTTGTTTATTCAGTCAGCCTTAAGAGTCTAAGGTTCATGTAGCACAACTCTCTAGTTATGGACTATAACATTGACAAGTTTTAAAACATTAGATGAAACAATGTTCAAACAGAATTGTATTAAATTGTAAAACATAACTGTCCTTTACTATTCTAGAATTGAGGTAGATCAGAAGTTACTAATATATTGAAAATTATGCTATTCTTTGGAACTTTGATTTGGGAGAGGAAATAAGGCTTGTAGAAAACAGCTATCTTTTGGCCAATTCTCAGCTATCTGTGAAGCACATGCTTCGATTCTCACACCTGAATGCTTTCTGACTATTTTCTTCAACTTTCCCAGCATACCAGCTGGCTCTCAGACCTTGACATGCAGAAGTCCAGGCAATGGACATGGTTTCCATTCTGGTCCTAAATGAAGGACTTCATCAACCTGTTGCTTGTTTCTAACTCACCTATGATTTCTCAGACTTTTTACAATTTGAGACTATAGCAAAAATATCTCTTTGAAGGAGTGATCTTCAAATAGGTTCATGAAAGAAATGAATGTAACTGTAATTTTGATTAAAGAATGTCAATGAAAATTTCATACATGAAAGCAAAATCCAGTCTTTGACTTTCACAAATGCAGCTTGCATAAAAATGATGAATGGTACCACATACTTTGGTTCATAGCGGATGCCTTCTGTGTTGTGTAAAATGCCCAAGCCAGCACGTAATCGTTCAATACCATTCCTAAATAAGAATGATTAAAATAAAGTTAATAGCCCCAAGATTTAAAGTACAAAGATTTAGCATGATGATGTGACAATATTTACAAGACTACAGGTGATGCAAAAATATCCCGTGGCTTACCATGCAATCATAATGCCGTTATCAGTGCACAGTCTGGGAGGGGGACACAGCAAGGTGCACTGTGTTGCCTCTGTGACAATTTCTAGAGCTCTTCGGACATATAAATTACTTGCAACGCCTCCAGATACAACCTGAAGAAATTGAGAAGACCCATATTAACAGCTATCACATAGGGATGTGAACATGAACCAAGCTGCTAGCTAAACCTGGGCAAATGATACAATAAGAAACTAACACATTTCGATGGCTGAAGGAGAAGTGATATATCTGTTTAAAATAATTTGGAGAAAAAAAATCACCAATTTTAATATCTGTATAAAATTACTCTCAGTATTTTTAATACATTCTCTACCAACTTTTTTTCTAATTATTTCTTTAACTATCATAGTATGCCAATATTTGAGACTCTGCATGTTTTACTCATAAGCATTTTAAAAAATTTTACTACACAGTTTTTAAAAATTTCACAACTGCTAAAACCTGTTAAGTTTGATATTTGTATAATATTCCATTGTGTGAATCTATCGTCATCATTTAAATATCTTCCTACCTTATAATCTTTCAAAAGAATAAGGTTTAAGATACATTAAACAGGAAGTTTATGAAGGCTTATAAGCACACTTAGAAGGATTTCACCAAAAGATGAAAGAAACCAGCCTATTTTTTAAAAAAATAGTGATAGCAGTCAGTCAATGGTATTTAATTCCTTTTTATAAACCTTCTTTTAAATTCAGTGAGAGTATGTGATCTTGGACTATTTTTGGCCTCACAGGCTATAGAAATGTCTCATAAAGCTGCCATACCTGCACAAGAAATGGCTGTTTGTCTTTTCTAGCCTGCATAATTTCAGTCAGGGCTGACATATGGAATGAACCTGCTCACAGGTCAGTTAGTCTTCAAAAAAACAAATGAACAAACATACTGCAAAAACTTACTATTTTTTAAAATTACTATTATTTTTTTGAGAGGTTTTTGCTATAAGGCACGTGCACTCACTAGACAGACAGAGAGAGACAGAGAGACAAAAAGAGAAATCACCCCCCAGGGGGGATGGCCATGCCACAATCCCTTCTCCTCCATTCTCTTCTTGGGATCTTGGGCACACACCTGTGCCTGGCATGAGTTTAAGCCACCGCGTCCGGGACTCAAACCGCATTGACTACATGGGAGTCCAGCAACATAGCCATTATGCCAAATGCTGTTCCCAAAAGTTATTATTAATATAAGTGAGATGACAGAACTTACCAGTGTTGCATTACTCTGGGACAACAAGTCTTTCTGCTTGCAAAACAGAATAGCACGATGTGTCCTTTTTGCAATATGGCAAGCTGTTGTGTGCTGTACTGCAGCAGCAATGTCTGCAGCTGAGGTAAGCATTTGCCCCTTCTCAATACCTGTAGAAACGAGCAGGTATTTTTAGGCTCAATTCAAGATTATTTATTTGTACAACTTTACTGATTAGAAATATACCTTCCTCTTTTTCCTTTTGCATGATTATTTTATCAATAATGTGTTGAAGTCCAGAAAAAGAAAAATCACAATTTTTAGCACGTTGCATAGGAGGTTTGATATCAAAATGAAATCTATTTCCTTGTAGAGCCAAATGTTCTATAGCCTTCCCACCACTCATGGTGGAACACTCTGGGTGTCTTATTAAAGAAAGTCTTCTTGCTACCTACCAAAAACAAAAACATATTTTTTAGTAAGTCATAAAACTGCTTATTTTGAAACCAAAAGATTCAAAAGAAACTGAAATATTAAAAACTCTGAATAAACAAAATATGCTATAAATCAATAAATATGGACTATAGCTGGTAGTCAATAAAGCAGACAGCCTGTTCCTTATGACAGCCTGATCAATAGTGGCCCACTGCTGCCTCCTGTGTACTTTAGCTTTTAGATCAGGGTTGGAAAATCGACTTGAAGTTGACAACGATGGTTTTAATGATGAACCTCAAAAATAGAACCTGTCCTACTCCTTCTTCACAATGGTCAAGTATTTCCTCTCTTTTCTTTTCTTTGAGAGATTTCTGTTATATTTCTCCACATGCATTTGCTGGAGAGATAGAGAGCCAGAAAGTGAGAAACCACCCCCCAGGGGGGATGGCCACACTGCAATCCCTTCTCCTCCATCTTCCTCTTCAGATTTTGGACATGTAAGCACATGTGCCCAGCATGAGTTTTAAGCTACTAGGTCTGGGACTCAAACCACAGTCAACTACGCAGAAGTCCAGCGACATAACCATTATGCCATCTGCTGGTACCCACAATGGTCAAGTATTAGTGGCACTGTTATTTTTGCACATGGCAGTAGTCTTTGTATAATTCCGAAACAAAAGAAAAAAAAATGTGTTGGCTTTAAGCCTGATGGTTAAGACATAGATCACATGGGTGATCTGGTGGTTTGAATATCAGATCCAGCAGTTTGTAAAACATGCCGGAAGCATACGCTTGTGTGCCCACAATCCTGAAGGAAGAGAGAGATGGAGGAGAAGGGATTGTGGGATGACCATTCTCCATGGAACACTCTTTTTTCTTCTCTCTCTGGAAAGTTTGCACACCCTCTAGCAAAAAGGAAAAAAAAAAAAAAAAAAAAAAAGAAAGAAAGAAAAAGGAATGTAGGGCAAGGTAGTAGTATAGTGGTAGCATAACTGGACCCACATAGGAAGGCCCTGGGTTCACATCCTGGGGCTACCCAGTATATGCTAGGGTGTGTACATGTGTGCTTATAATTTAGGCTGACTGAGGCTTAGGGTGCATCACACTTTGAAGACTTTGTTGGAGATGCCTCTCTCTCTCTTTCTCACATAGAGGAATAAATAAACTTTTATAAAAAGGAGAAAAATAAAAAATCAAAAAAATAAGAATGCGACTTGTCTGGTGTTAGCATTGTATGATTTAACTATAAAATTGTGTATTATAATATCTGTCAATCTTTATATATCCTCATTTTACATTTTTCACTACAGTTTAAAAAGCACTTTCTTTCACCCATTATTTGACTAAATATATACACAACTGCATCTGCAAACTATTTGAGTCTTTATGTATTAATGTAAACCATTTTATTAGGGAAGGGTGAGAAAGAATTACAAAATTATGTAGTATTGTATTTTTTCTTACTGTACATAAATATTTTTAGTCTAAGACATAATTTTGAACTATTTAGATGAATAGCAGTGGCACACTTCAGTTATTTAACTGAAACAGATTCCATAACAAAACTGAATGGAGTGGGGCCAGCAGATGGTGTAGCAGTTACATTGTTGGACTCCCACATGGCTGACTGTGGTTTGAGTCCTGGACTTGGTGGCTTGAAACTCATGCCAGGTGCATGTGCATACGTGCCCAAGCCCCCAGAAGAATGGAAAAGGGATTAAGGCATGGCCATCCCTGCTGGGGGTAGGTGATTTCTCACTTTTCTTCTCATTGTCTCTGTCTATCTGTCTCTGTCTGATAAGCACACATGCCCTAAGGCAAAAAACTCTCAAAAACAAACAAACAAAAACATGGAGAAATTAATTAAGTAGTTACCTTGTCAAGCATGTCACCTGGTGCTATGTCCAAAGACTTCCCAAGCAGCAGAAAATCTGCAACTCCTCGAACTACTGCCAATAGACAGTGACCTCCAGAAATTAAAAGAACTAAAAAAGGAAATTCTACCTTGTTGGTCAGCCTAATAGTAAGTGCATGAGCCTCCATATGATGAATGGGGATAAATGGCTTTTTTAACTGCTCTACCAGCTGTAAGCTAAATGATAAGCCCACTCCCAAGCTTAAAGCAAGTCCTGGCTTTATGGTAGTGGCAATTGCTGAGAGTTCACTTGGAGAGGTTCCACTAGCAGAAAGAGCTTCTTGCACTATTCGTTGAATATTTTCTCTGTGAAGCTGTTGAGCTACTGGAGGAATAATACCACCTGTTCTGAAAGAAATAAAAAGATAATGTTTCATAATTTCAAGGTTACAAAAACAAAATAAGAAAAGTTATTATAGCTAAAGGGATGTTTTCAAATTAATCATTACGTAGCTAAAAATATTAGTAAGTCAAGATATTTTATAATTGTGTTTCTTAAAATGAAGCATGCTGTGGTAAGAACTTAATCGGCAATGATGAAGGGCAATGTTTCTGACTTCCAACTTAAGCACAACAAACTCCTACAGATTTGTTAATTAATGAAATCACCAAAATAATCTTGCTAAGCATTCTAAAGAAGTCTTGGACAGGAAATGACAGGATAAAATAATATTTTAAGAAAAATAATGTCTACAACCAGAGAGATTTTTAAAGAGATTACTGTAAAAATAGTTGTATAAAGTGATTATAACTTAAACTGGGTGACAGAGAATGAAAAGAGAGAGACAGAGAGCCTTGGAAACTGTAATAACTAACTGGATATAAAAAAATGGGAGTTCAAGGGGAAGATGATTCAGGTATTCAGCTGGAATGTCTGGTAGACAAGAAATACTAACAGAAACATGAAGACAGTTTTGTGAAGAAGATGAGTTTATTTTTAAACGCATTGCACTTGAGGTCACAGCAGGACAGTAGAGAGCTTGCAATACTGAAATAAATAAAGTTTGAGAATCCAGTGCTCTGAGTTGGTAATTTGGATTTTTTGGTACATGTAGGACAGTGAATGGCCACTCCAAATGTCAAAAATTAAAAGAATTACAGGCATTTTTTTTTTTTTGCTAGCATGTGAATGATTTACAATTTGAGAAGCAAAGTAATAAAATGTACTTCTAGTCTCAAAAACAATCCCAAACTTGATGTTGCAAGGCCTGTTAGTTTCCATACAGAGAAATGAAAATCCTCACTAGGAGCATCCAATGAATGTTTACTTTTTAAATAAAACATGTATTGTTTCAGGCAATGAAGGAGATATAAAAAGAAATGATCTTATTCCAGCCCATCCATATTATAATACATCTTTAATTCTTTAAAGCTACTTTTTCTTTTATGTTCCTCATCTGTTAGTGGCATTGATAACTTCATAGTCAGGGGAGTTTCAAGGTTCACCTTTACCTTTTTTCCCCCAAATTTCCACATTTATCATTGCTATGATTGCTTCCACCCAGTTCAGAAAAGTCTCATTCTCTCAATCTGTTTAACAGAACTACACTTTTTTTTTGAGAGAGAGATTTTTGCTATAGAGCATGTGCATTCACCAGACAGACAGAGAGAGACAAGAAGACAGAAAGTGAAAAATCACCCCCCTCAGGGGGGGATGGCCACATCATAATCTCTCTCCTCAATTCTCCTCTTGGGATTTTGGGCACCCATGCACACATGCCTGGTGTGAATTTTAAACCGCTGATTCTGAGACTAGAACCATAATCGACTATGTGGGAGTCCAGTGATGTAACCATTATGTCATCTGCTGGTCCCTGAACTACACTTCTTTATCTACATTCTCTTATTACAGGGGTCTGTCCTATATTGTACTACCAGGTTCTGAAGCACAGTGCTGACTTTATTACTTTCCTACTCAGAACCTTGACTTTCTTGAGATTTGGGAGACTTTCTTTTGCAGCTCCCTCGGCACAACACTTAACTGCCGCGCTTAGGGCTGGTCTGGATTTAGGATAAGTCCTCTCCCTCCTGCTCATTTCTCCCTTCTCTATTTTGCCTTCCTCCCTTTCTTTTCATGTCTATTCTGTGTATTTTATCTTCCAAGGATCATGCTAAGTACAAAGGAAAAGAGAGATTTTTAAAAAAGCCATGGGTTTATTTTCAAAGAATAATGTGCATATGTTCTTGTCTTACTATACTCTATAAATATTACAGTATGGAGCATGGTTGGTTAAGGGACAAAGTTAAAACAGAGGCAGGGAAACAATTTAGCCTTAAGACAATAGCCAAGAGTCCAGGCAAGACACAATAATAAGGGACTGAATTAAGTCAATGAGACGGGAGAAGAAAGTTTTAAGAAATATTTGAGAGAGAGATTTACTATGATTGAATGACTGATCTGGATATAGAGGGGCTGAGGGAGAAGCCAAGGATGTTCTGCAGGCTTTTTGCTTTGAAGAAGGGACTCTTCTTCCAAATAACCTCCATTATTGCATTTCTGATGCTGTTTTATAATAACCTGTACATGGTCTGCCTTCCTTTAATCTCTCTCTCTCTCTCTTTTTTTAAAAGAGGTTTTTTGCCTTAGGATGTGTACACTTGCTGAAGAGGGAGAGAGACAGACACAGTGAGGGAGAAAGTGAGAAATCAACCCTGGAGGGATGGCCACAATGCAATCCCTTTTTCTCTATTCTCTTCCTGAGACCTTGGGCATGCATACACATGTGCCCAGTGTGATTTTCAAGCCACTGCATCCAGGACTCGAACTGTGGTCAGCCATGTGAGAATCCAGGGATGTAACTGCTACACCTTCTACTAGTCCCGTGGTCTGCCTTCTTCATATATTTATATGAGGTTGTTGGAAAAGTCATGATGCATTTTTATATAGAAAAACATAGAAAAATATGTTATGACTTTTCTGATTACCAAATAGTATAGTAATAGAGGTACTATTATTACTAATATTAGGAACTGGCTTGTATTGAGCCCTTAACTATTTGTCATGAACTGTGACAAATGCTTTAAAAGAATTCACACTTAATCTTCACAATCCTAACAGCAAGTGGTTATTACTATTTCCATTTTATAGTCAAGGACACCAAGAAAAAAATCGTACATGGTCTCAAATCTAGTAAGTGACTGAACTAGAATATAAACCTGTGTTCTAATCCACTTTACATGATGAGTAGTTAAGAGACAAGGATTATATATTGTATTCATGTTTGTACCCACAGCACCGCAGATATTTCCTGGCAATTGTAGGCATTCAACACATGCTGAAATGAGCTGTGTGGATAGTACCACTGAGGCATATTTGCCCAGTATTCCCCTCAAGTGACCATGCTCTTGATTAAACGAACATCTGTCTAGTACTTTTCACCTCTTTATTTTTGTTGACAATGCTCACTCAGACTGAAATGTTTTCTCCTTCTCTGTCTACTGAAGGCCTAACCATCTTCCAAGGCTCATGAGCACCTGAGGTGTGTCCGACATCTGCTGGGCATGAAGTAGAACACAGTGATTAATACAGACAAAGCCCCCGTCACCATGGAGCTTAGGGTCTATTGGGAGAAAAATGATGTATAAGCAAACAAACATATAAATTATAAAGAAGCTTACAAAGAAAGCATGTATATAGTGATACAGAAAAACCAGGATGGGAATCCTAATTTAGATACCTGGTCAGGGTAGGACTTCCAGTATAGTTAACATTTACATGCTCAAAAGTTCAATGTAGAGACCAGCAGATGGCGTAAGGATTATGTCACTAGACTCCCACGTATTCAACAGTAGTTCAAGTCCTGGATCCAGAGGTTTAAAACTCACGCATATACTCACCACATGTGTATATGCCCAAAATCCCGAGATGAGAAAGGAAGAGAAGGGATTGTCATGTGAACATCCCTCCTGGGGGATCATGTCTTTTTTTTTCTGTCTCTCTGTTTCTCTGGTGAGTGCACACACACCCTATAGCAAAAACTTCTCAAAAAAAAAAAAAAAGGTTCAGCATTCTCAGGAAAAACTGAGAGGATGACGGAGAGAAGGCATCCTTTTATACTGTCTGTACCACTTATTTGACACCCACTCTATGCTGCTTGAGTTCTTTTATTAGCTTTTATTAGCTCTTCTTGAGGTCTCTATATTATGTCTCAGTGATTATAAAACAAGGACTTCACTGTGCCGTTTTAACACTAGCACACTCCCTCTCATACAGAACAGTAACGTTTGAGGCTTACTTTACCTCTTCATATATATTACTTCTAATACCTGCCTCTACCCTCCACCAATCCTATGAGGCAGGTGTTGACGTTTTGTCTTACTAATGTGAAAACAGAATCAGAGAAGACAAGGAACTTGCTTAAGTCACAGAGCCAACGCTAAGGGCCTGATTGATGATTCTAATATAGGTCTGTGACTGTCAGGCTTTCTAACTACTCAGATGTTGTAAACTGAGGGCTCAAAGGTATATTTCATATGTGGAGTATTTTAAGTTAGCTACTAATGCTAATAATATGGAGATACTACATTAAAAATATGGATTCCCATCTTCTCTGAAAATTGTGATGATCAGGCCAGCATGTGGCCTGGTGGTTATGCACACTAGATCCCACATAGCCAACTGGCCAGTTGCAGTCTTAGACTTGGTGGCTTGAAAAACATGTCAGGCCTGGTGGGGCCGCTGGCTGAGTGGAGACATTGCCCTGTGAGAGCTAGCATGGCTCTGCCTTCTCACTCAACAGATGGGGACCATACTGAGCATGCAAGGGAGCTGTTGCTTTTCCCTGTTGCTCTAATACAGGCTCTGTCCTGTGGTCGACATGGCCTATGGAAATCAACAAGAATCTGCCCTCCAGAAAAGCAAGAAGAAAACTCAAGAAATTAGCAAGGGAAAGGGAGAAGAAAGCTTGACTGCTATCTTAGAAAAAGCAGAAGGATTGTGAGGTCTATGTAGACCAGAGAAAAATGATGATTGGCTATGTGGAAAACCTGGGAGCTACTGTCAACTGGGTGTATCATACACTCTAACACTGAGATTTTATACGATAAACAGTCATTACATATGCTATAACTTATCCTTATTAAACTGTCCATTTAAAATTTTAACTTTTAGCCTGATTTAGTGCAATATTTTAGAACCATTTTTTAAAAAATAAAATATTAGCCATGCAAAAAGAAAAAAGAAAAACATGCTAGGCCCATGGCACACATACCCAAAATCCCAAGAAGAGAGGGAAATGGAGAAGGGATTGTGGCATGACCATGGCCCATGGGTAGTGCCTTCTTACTCTCCCTCTTTCTCTGTCTCTCTCTGGTGAGCATGTGTATCCTCTCACAAATTAAAAATAAAAAATCATGATGATGTAACAACAGATCCTATATTCCTGCAAGGTGACAGTTGACTACAGCTGAGTAGTGATCTCCTCTAGATGTTTTCGACTTTCTATCTAATGCCCTTATTTACGTAGCCTGCCTGGTGGTCCTCTGTAAACACCTGAGTTTATAAACATTGCACCATTCTATGCTTTAATGAAATGTTATTATTTAATACTAACACAAGTTCCATGCTTGGATATGACGAGGATTTTTTTTTTCATTAATTAACATAGGCTACAAGTCAAATTATACGTTTGAAGAACTTCACTCAAGACTATGAAACACACAAGTGGAGAAAACGTATTACTGAGGAAAAATCATTAATATATACTGGAGCCAGGAATAAGCTTAGTTCCTTTTTGGCAACAGGATTAGCTAAGGTTGGAATTTTATTGTGGAGAGACTTAGAAGCCAGGATGCAGTAACTTGAGGCTTTTCTTTATAGTAGTTATTAGAAGTTTTTGCACAAAGAAATAAAAAATTAGCTCCTAAATTTTAAATTTTACAAATGATAAATACAAAACAATGATTTCATTGTAGTTCTTCTCAAAATGTGGAAATGTCTACTTACTTTAAATGAACTTCAGTTTGGGAATGTATTGCTTCTCCTAGCACGTTTCCAGTTTCATCTACTACTGCAGCTGCTGTATCATCACAACTCGTTTCAATTCCCAGTACTAGCTTGTGAAGAAATAGTGTTCCAGGATGAAAATTGAAACCTCTTAAAAATTCATAAACTTTCCTTTTTGCTGGCTGAAAAAAAACTCCTGCTGTCTTATTCAATATTAACATACTTACTCTACAGATAATTCCTGAAAAAGAATTACAGAAACAAACATTATTTGGAACTGACATTAGCCACTAACTCATTCAGCTAAGCACAATTTTGAAAGCTTGATTTAATTTTCAAAATACAGTTTTAAGAATTAGAGGGGGACCAGCAGTTAGTGTAATGGCTATGTCACTGAACTCCCATGTAGTGAACCGTGGTTCGAGTCCCGGACCCGGTGGCTTAAAACTCATGCTGGGCACCTGGGCATGCATGCCCAAGATCCATAGAGGAGAATGGAGGAGAAGGGATTGTGGCATGGTCATGCCCTCAGGGGGTGATTTCTTGCTTTTTGTCTCTCTGTCTCTGTCTGTCTGGCGAGCGCACATGCCCTATAGCAAAAACATCTCCAAAAAAAAAAAAAAAAAGGAATTTGAGGAAAGTTTGTAAAAGTTATGAACATTTTGTAAAGGCTATAGCAACCTGTGAATAAAAATAACACTGTGAATTAATATAATGCTTGTTAAGGGGAAAATGAGAGTCAGACATTATTTTTAATATTTCTATTACAGACAATCTTTGATTTATGATGGTTTAAAATTCAAATTTTCAACTTGATCATGCTGTGAAAGCCATATGCATTCAGTGAAAACCATACTTTGAGTACCCATTTACACATGGGTTTCTCCCTTTCAGTATTGTATAATTTATATGACATAACACTCTTACTACATAACAGGCTTTGTGCTAGATGATTTTGCCCAACTGTAGACAATGTAAATGTTCAGGGCACATTTAAGGTAGGCTAGGCTAATAAAGCCATGATCTTTAGGTAGGTTAGGTGTATTAAATGCATTTTTGACTTACGGTATTTTCAATTTGCAATGAATTTACTGGGATGTAATCCCACTGGAAGTGGAGGATCATTTTTACTTTTATGTTTTTCTTACCAAACTTTGCATTCTTTTTCTTTTTATGAGACAGCTACTATCACACTGCAATAGTATGTAAAAGTGCTATTTGCATGTTGATAGTTATTGTAAAATAAAGACAAAATATGGTTTAAAGAAAAATCAAAGGCAAATGGAAAAGGCAAAAATAAATGTAGTCCATCTTCTAAAAGCATTTTGCAAACTAAAATTTAATAATTTAGTTCAAAAACAAGAGTTAAGGGTGTTGTGGCATGGTGGCGGTTCGGGTGCTGTACTCCCACATGGCGGACTGCCCTTCAAGTCCCGTACCTGGTGGCTTTCTCTTTCTCGTTAAATTTAAATAAATAAATAAAGTTAAATAGAATAACTCTTAAACAACAACAACAACAAGAATTAAAATATATCCCCCACCCCCAAGATTCAGTCTTTTAATTTAGAGACAATAGTGTCTGCATAAAGCTCATTTGAAAAAAAACACGTCAATTAAAATGACTGCAACCTAACACTTATTTCTATCCTTAATTACAATCTGGAATTCTCTCCATTATTTGCCACAGATTTATCCTTTTTTTCTCAAAACAATAGCAGTCCATCACTAAAGCACTCTAGTATTTCCATACCGTTAAGTATCATCCCGTTTTACAATTTTCTGGATTGTGAAAGTAGGTTTTCCGCACCACAACAACAGACAAAATTTTGGATTAAAAAAAAAAAAAACGAAATAATATCGGAACTAGGGCAGAGAGCATCTGGAGATTGAAGATGAGAAACCTTTGGCTGAGGGGACTACAGCCCAGACAGACACACCCCCGTGGGATTACGTTTGCAGTAACTAAATCCAGGCAAAGCGGATAGGGAGACACCCCTCCCTTTTCGGCCCAGAGGGCTCCCGAGGGAACCAAGGTGACTTGGGCAGCAGCGGTGGTGTGTTTGCGCTAGGAAAGCCAGGGGCTCCGACTGGAATCGTGTTTCCCGGTGAGCAGAGCCTTGGTGCAGCGACAGTGAGCGATTTCACCCACCTTCTTCGGGAACGACAGGAGGTAGAACTCGTCTCCCTTCCCTAGGCAAGACGCTCCACTGCCCTTTCTGGAGCATGAGCAAGCCGGGGCTTGGCGCTCCGGAAGTGAAGTCATCAGTCCCGGGTCAGCGTCCCTTCTAAAGGGCCAGACGTAGCTCTCTTAGAGAAGAAAAGCGAAAAGGCTGTCTTTGTCCAAATGTTGTTCGTGCGCTCCTGCATTTCCCCCTGGCTCGTAGGTAACAGGAAACCCGCAAAGTCCCAGGGCTCGCGGTCGGTGCCGCAGAGGCTGAACGCAGGTTTGTTGGACCGCACGGCGTTAAGTGCCGAACGGACCGCTACAACTTAAGAGTCTTTGCCTTTGGCTGCTATTATGAGAAGTTACACTTTACGGGAACTGTCACCAAAACTAAACTTTGTGGTCTGAGATACCAAGCATTTTTATCAGAGAAACAGTGCCAACTGAGGATGCCCCAGCTTGGCCAAGGGTCCCAGAGAACGGAAGTGCTTCCGGTCGGACAGTCCAAACCGTTACTCCTACTTCGCTAGGAGTGAAAGGTCCGACACAGGCTACTTATACGAATTCAAAACAAAACAAAACAAAAAACCAGGCGGAGGACTGGAGGACGGAGGTAAATATTTATTTACCTCTAAAAAGCCTAAATTCGCAATGCATTATATGGTCCTGGCTTACTATATGTGCGACCTCCTGTATAATTTGTACTTATTCTTGAATCTGCCGCGGTCTTTCTTGCTTTTATTGGTTTGTAAACTTGTTACCATTTGAATAGTTTTAGCTCAAGAGCCTTCTAGGCTTTAAAGTCTTAATAAGCAAGGGACCATATAACTAAAGGGTAGTTTATATATAAATGCTTTACACAACGTGAAGCTCTGGAAAAGCCTTATAAAAGTAAATCACATGTTGGGCGCTCACAGAGCAGTCTGACACTCTATACAGATAAGTAAATTCATAATTACCAGAATATTGTGAAGAAGTATTTTAGTTGGAATTTATGTTTTTGGAAAACTTCATTTGTGTAACAATACCAATAATTAATAACAAAGTAGCACTTATTATGTGCCAGGTACTCTAGTAGTTTATTTAATCCTCACAACCCCATCGAACAGCTACTGCCGTAATTATCAAGCAACTGGGCCACAGAGTTTCGGTGATTTGCAGGTTACGCAGAACTTTAGAGCACACTAGGAAGGAATTTTATTCTCCTTTTGGCATTTAAAACAGTTTAGCATATTTAGCAAATGAAGGTATGAATCTTATGTGTTTGTTGTACTAAGAGAGTGGGTTATTAGGGGAAAATATGTATGCTGTCTGGGACCTGTCCGACATATCTTATGGTTACAACGTCGTCACATACAAGCATTCGTAGTAAAATACTACCCAACCACCATAAAGTCCGCTTGAATTGAGTTCCAACTGAATTGAAATATACCCATTTTGTCTCACTGCCTAGCCCTCCATTGTAACCTTCAGAAAAAACATTACATATAGAAGAATCTTATAACTCATCTAACTATGCCTTACTAAATTAGATTTTATTTTCATTTATTACAACTTTACTGAGTTCTTGCCCTCATGCTAGGAACTATATTAATTGTTAGAGACAAAGAGGTAAGATCCATTCCCTGTCTTCAAGTATCTGGGCTTAGTGGCAGAAATAATCAATATAGAATTGTGGAAATACGAATGGGAAGTGTATGTTGAGAGAAGGTAGTTGCTCCAGGAATTCTGTGTGGCTTCTTATAGATATATCCATGATGCCTGGCAGGGCTATGGTATATATATATATATATTTTTTTTTTTTTTTTAGGCTTGAAATTGGTTTATCAGAGCTGTAAGTGACTGAACTCTGGAGTTCTGAGTCACACACCACAAATTGTTAAAAGATTGTTGTGTAAAAAAACCATTACTTCTAATAACTTATGAAAAATGCAATGATGGGGGAGCTAGTATAGTTGAAGTTGCTGATCATCTTTTTATACAGTGAAAGCCAAATCCAAATTATAATCAGAAGACTGCCTGGTAAATATGAAATGGAAGCAGTAGAAATGAGTTGACTGTTCTTCATGGCTAATATTTCAAGCCTGATGCATTCTTTCTCACTTGTCACATACCTGTCTTACATACTTCATGGGTTGGATTGTGCTAAAAATGGACTATTTGTCTTTCTCCTTTTAAGTTTTCTTTGCTGACCAGTATCTTTTGATGTGGAACATTCTGTTCTTTAGCAGTGATACTGTCAAGTCTTAACTTAGGAAGATATTTTACTTATTTACTGAGTCATTAAAGCTTGATTTGCAAATTAACTTTCAGATGATCTTTTTTTATTGTAGGGATACACATAACAAAATTTATCATTAAAACAACTTTCTTGGGACCAGCAGTTAGCGTAATGGCTATGTCGCTGGACTCCCATGTACTTGACCACGGTTCACGTCCTGGACTCAGTGGCTTAAAACTCACGCCGGGTGTGTGTGCGTGCGTGCCCAAGATCCCAAGAGGAGAATGGAGAAGGGATTGTGGCATGGTGATTCCTCCCTGGGGGGTGATTTCTCTATTTCTGTCTCTCTGTCTCTGTCTTTCTGGCGAGCGCACGTGTCTTATAGCAAAAAAAAAAAAAAAAAAAAAAACAACCAAACCTCTCAAAAAAAAAAATACTTTCTTTCATGAGAGAGGGAGAGAGAGAGTGAGTGAGAGAGAGAGAGAGAAACACTCCAAACAGGATCCCAGTCCCAGCTCTCCCAGGCAGTCTGGATCATTAGTATGTGCACCTGGCATGTACAGGTGTACCAAGAAACTGAACCCAGTCTTCTGTACAGATCCAGCATCACTTGAGAAGTGCTATTTAGGCTGGCCCAGATTTACCACTTTCAGCCATTCATTTAACCATAAAGTTCAGACACTAAATGATTCATCTTTTTGTGCAACTACCACTACTATTAATCTGCAGAACTTTATCTTCTTAACCTAAATTTCCATATCCATTAAATATTAAGCTCTCATCCACCAGACCTGGTAATCACCCTTTCACTTTTTGCCTTTGTGAATTTGATTACTCTAGGTACTTTATATAAAGTGAACTCTTAACAGTATGTCATTTTGCGATTGGCTTATTTCACGTATCATAGGCTTTCCAAAGTTTATCTGTGTTATGTTAGTTTTGTTTTTCAGTTTGCTGTAGGATATGTGCTCTTGGTGGAAAGATGAAGAGAAAGGTGAGAGATCACTTCCTGTGAAGGATGGCCAAACCCCAATTTTCTCTTCTCCTTTTGGGATTTTGGGCACAAACACAATTCTGGTGTTTTTCAAGCTGTTAGGTCTAGGACTTGAACCACTCAACCACCCATGTGGGATCCAGCTGCCTTAACCTCCATGCCACCTGAGGACCCCTACCTTTGAAGGCTGAATACTACTCCTATCCTTCATCTATTGATGAACACTTAGGTTGCTTCCACCCTCTGGCTACTGTAAATAAGGGTATGAACATGGGTGTAAAAATACCTGTCCAAGTCCCTACTTCCACTTCTTATGGATATGTACAGAGGTAGAATTGCTGGATCATATAATAATTTTAATTGGGGGAGGGGGTGGATCTCTATACTCCTATCTTAATTCCTTAGTTTTCAAGTGTGTTTGATTTATGTATGGTTTGGGCAGAGAGAGGAGGGAATGAATCTTTTTTTTTTTTTTGGTATATTATGATTATTAAATGCCACGTTAGGGGACTAGCAGATAGCATAATGGTTATGTTGTTGGCCTCTCACAGGGTTGACCACAGTTTGAGTCCTGGACCCAGAAGTTTAAAATTCATGCTGGGCGTGTGTGTGTGTGTGTGTGTGTGTGCCCAAAGTCTGAAGAGGAGTGTGGAGAAGGGAGTGCAACATGGCCATTCCCCTGGGGGGTACTTTCTTGCTTTCCATCTCTCTCAAGTGCACACACCCTATAGCAAAAATCTCTTTAAAAAAAAAAAAATGCATGTTAGAATCATGGTTTGGTAAGAATTCATGGGCAGGACAGACACTTCAGAGTCACTGTATTTTCTCAGCAATAGCCAATAAATCATCTGGCTTCTCTGTTCCCATTTTAAAAATTATAAAATGAAACTGGGGTGTTACTAACATAAATAGAGAGTATTTGAAAAATCTGAAGTTTTTCAAAATAGGATTATCAACTTTTATAATTGGAAATTCCTTAGAAAATTTATATATAAGATTCTTTTCATATTTTGTATTTTAAAAATAGTTCATTACTACAATGCAATAGTCTAATAGGATAGATAATAGAGTATTTCCCAAAACAATAACATGGATAGTATATGTTGATGTAGGATAACTGAGCAGGTTCAGTTCTGGGAAGACAGATCTAGGTAAAATACCCCCAAAGCAAGTTTAGAGTAGTGATGGGCAAGGACAGGGAAGACTGGAGAATACCAGAGGTAAATTCTGTATTTCATCTGTGTTACTGTGTCCTTCCATTCTAACTGCTTTAATTTATGTTCATAAAAATAATATTCTGAGACACAAGAGCTAGATGGTAGAGAAACCACATTATTAACACTGAATGTAAGGCTTTGAGAAAAACTTTAAAGTGAACCAAAGTGTGGGTGTAATTTTGATGACTGAATTTGGAGAGCTTCCGAAATAATCTTACACCAAGGAAAACTTTTATTAAAGTACAGATTACCGATTATTTCAAAATACATGGGAAAAGACAAACATACAAAGGAAGTATCATACAACTGATTACTAAACTCAATACTTTTTAAATACAAAACAATGATCATTACCTCCAAAAGTCAGTTTATTGACAAATTGATTTACAGGTTGGTCTATAACTCTTTTCACTCAATTTTGTTTATGAATATTAGGAGTTTTTCAGTTTCATCCCATATAAGAACTTTGTTTTCTCTTTTTAATATATTTACTTCTCAAAGGACTACATAGTTATTTCTTGCAACTAACATCAGGAACTATAAGAATCTTCCCCAAGTCACAAGAATTCAATATGGTTGCTGCTCTCAAAATAGGTACCATTTTGAGTTATCCATAGAGACCCATGTACTTAAAAGCAAAATATTAATGAACAAAACATGAGGATTGATAGCAGGAAAATCAAAGAATATGTTACCTTTACTGCAGACTTGCTAGAAAAGACTCCATGACTCACATTGGTACTATTACTAGAAGGCAGTTTCTGTCAGACCACAGGATGGCTGTCAAGTTGTCCATATTAATTTTCCTTTTCTGGCTCCCTTCTATCACCAGTCATGAAGGTGGACCTTCATGAACTCAGTAACGTAATAAATATAAAAACCACCTCATCTGCAAACACGTAATACTGAGCCAGAAAAAACAAAAAAGTATACTCTTAAGGTAGGAACTGGCTTGTGTGTAACAAGATGGTATATATCCTCTTAAACAAAACAAGGGGAATGTGTATGGTAATAAAAACAATCTATAATAAATGTGTAAAGAAATGATTCTGGTTTACATGTAAGTCTGCTTAAACTAACCATGACTGAATGATTGGAAATTTTCTTTTCCTAACATAATGCCCATTCAATACAACTTATGTTGGTCCTAGTTTTCCTTTACAAATCTCTTATTTCCTTGGATTTATCTACTACACCCTCACTGTATTGCCATTTAACTTATAGGCTGGGCCTGCCCAGCCTGCCTATAAAGCCTCTCTCCAGATATATACCTGATGCATTAAACAGAGGCATCTTTTAGTAGAAATCTGCACTTCAAAACAGCATATGAAGAGCCAGCAACTGGCTTTCCAATGTAAATACCTCTCATTTCATATTATTACAGAAACAGTGCAGTTTACTAACCACTCCTTCCATACAGGAGATTCAGTAGCTGCAAAAACTTTTATTCAGTTTCAAAACACCTCAATACTTATTAATCCCAAAGATCCGAACACCATGTAGTTGTGGCATTTTGGGAATTAGCACACTCAAGAGAGAAGTTGTGTTTAGGATGAAGTGAGTTGGATCATACTTCGTATAGAAACTTGCCAGAAAATATCTGTAGAAATAAAAGTTAAAAACATGTGTAACATCCAAAAACAAGTTACTTAGGATTTTAAAAATTAAAAGGTAGAATAAAGGCCATGGAAATATAAATACTCAAAAGTAAAACCATCTTTTAGCACTAAAACATTTTACTTTGGGCCCAAGTTTATTTGATTTGGGATTTATAATTTGTTTAATCAGTAGGCACATTTTGCATTTCTGCAATTATATTAAATATAATTAATAGAATGCATTTCTATTTAGGCTCTTTTAAAGCAGAAAGCTTTCAAAGCTAAGGTTCACATGCCCTCTGATTTCAGGTGTGTTTTTGTATTTATGATTGTTTCTAAAGAGAAGATCTGGAGCCAAAGCATCAATTATGTTCACAAAAAGTTTTGGGGGTCAGACGGATGTGCAGTAGTAATGCACCAGACCCACATGGGAAGATCCTGGGGTCTCCCCATACACTTCATCATGCTCCTACATGATCCAGGCTGGCAGGTTGGGGGTGGTTCACAACATGACAACAATGTTGGGGGTACCTTTGTCTTAGTCTCATGAAAAGAATGAGACAGAAATGGACAATCTTCAGAAGCAAAACAAAGGGTTTTATGACCCATCAAATAGTTGAGAACCACTACTTTAGTTTTAAAAAATGGGGGTTTAGTACACAGTATAGTTCATTATCTTTGAAAGAAAAAAAAGATACATGGTTGCCCTTTTGATGTTCTTCTTCATACTGTAGTTGAACAAGTCTATAACCTATATCCAGTTTAGCTGGACTTGAAAGATGTAAAATTCCAGCTGTTTTGCTATAACTAAATGCATGTACATATTCAGACAGCCAACATCTTATCTTGCGAATTTGTTTTAATACGCATAAAATACCTATAAGACCATACATGACCAAATCCAGAATGTCTGGTTTCACCAAAAGATTTATCAGAGTACAGATACTTACCTGGCTACTACAAGAGTATTCTAACATAGATAAATATACAGATTAAAATACTATTCGTTACTTAATCATAATTAAGAAATGAATTTTAGAGTACACAAAGAAAGTATTCAATTTTAAGACAGATTTTTGCTATAGGGCACGTGCACTTGCTGGAAAGACAAGAGACAGAAAGAAAAATCATTCCCAGGGAGATGGCCCTGCCACAATCCCGTCTCCTCCATTCTCCTCTTGGGATCTTGGTGGGCATGTACACACACACAATGGGTCTGGATTCAAACCATGGTCCACTATGTGGGAGTCTAGTGACATAATCATTATGCCGTCTGCTGTTTCCCACAGGAGAGTATTCTTTTTTTCTTTTTTTAAAAGACCACAGAGTGGTTTATTTTTAATACCCATCATGCCATGAATTCATAGGGAATAGGTTCCAGAAGCTCAGACTCCTTTATATTCTCACAAAGTATGCTTCTTCAGATGGAGTAGGCTGTTGCTTCAGTTGAACCAAGGTACCTTTCTCTTTGGCTTCCTTCTTTTTCTGATCATTTTCCTTCACACATTTTAGGAAGCTATCTCTGCTCTTAGAATACTTAATATGCTCAATACATACATTAATTCTCTTGGCAAGACTCTTACTTGTTTTTAACAATGCCAACAGCATGCTGGGTAACACTGTAGACTGTCAGGTTTGCCATGGTAGCATTTGTGGGGCATTCCTTTTTGAACAGTAGCCATTCCTTTGATGTCTACAGTATCACCTTTCTTGTAGATTCACATATGCTGTCAAAGGAACAACTCGATGTTTTCTAAAAGACCTACAGAACATATATCAAGTGCCTCTCCTC